AAACGAGCTGGGAAAACAACCCAGCTCAGAGACTAGTCAGGAACTCCACAAGCTTTGAATTGCTCATCGGTTTTAGCATTAATTTGATTTAATTTTTGTTTTTAATGTTGCGTTAGCCATCTTGAGTAGCTCCGCGAGAGAAAAGCGGGACCCAAATTGAATCAATCAATCAGTTACACCAAGTGACGACTTCTGTCAAGTTTCTAGCTAAAGATTTTCTGCCTATAAATGATCGAGAAGTATCAAGAGCACTTCTGTGACTCTAATGGTATCTTAGTCTCCTTCCCAGACAATGAAGATTTCCAAGATGTCCATCATCCTATCGGAATAGCTGCTTTATGACTTTGTCTCAGGCTAAATAATAAAGTGGATGTAAACTCTCATGTAGCCGAATCGAGCAATTCTTCCCCTACCCTAATTTAGCAAGAATTGACTCATAGCTAAGCCTATTAAGCAACCATGCTAGGAATTTTAAGTCTACCTCTGCACGTAGAGGTCAGAATACAATGAATAGGATTGTAATACAAATTTAACTCCATTCACAAATGTTTTTTAGTTTAGTTTAGTTTATTGTCATTGCACCTCGTACAATGAAATTAAATGCCGTCTTCAGTGTATATTATAACTATAAAAATAAAAACATACATCCTTTACATTCTATATAATTGAAATTGAAAACCTGATAATTGCACTATACCGTAGAATTTAATATGGTTTTACCCTGGGATAGAAGCTGTTTTTCAGTCTATTTGTCCTTGTTTTTATTGTCCTGTACCGCCTGCCAGATGGTAATAGTTCAAAAAAAAAAAGGGTGTGTGCCCAGGATGAGATGGATCTTTAAGAATGTTTTGAACTTTCTTAGAATGGAATGGAATAACAGAGTTGGAAGGGACCTTGGAGGTCTTCTAGTCCAACCCCCTGCTTAGGCAGGAAACCCTACACCACTTCAGACAAATGGTTATCCAACATCTTCTTAAAAACTTCCAGTGTTGGAGCATTCACAACTTCTGCAGGCAAGTTGTTCCACTTATTAATTGTTCTAATTGTCAGGAAATTTCTCCTTAGTTCTAAGTTGCTTCTCTCCTTGATTAGTTTCCACCCATTGCTTTTTGTTCTACCCTCAGGTGCTTTGAAGAATAGTTTGACTCCCTCTTCTTTGTGGCAGCCCCTGAGATATTGGCACACTGCTATCATGTCTCCCTTAGTCCTTCACTTCATTAAGGCAGCGGGAGCTATCAAGCTCTTCCAAAGAGGGGAGGGGGCAACCCATGATGCTCTGGGCAATGGCGTTGACCCTCTGGAACGCTGTCCTGTCTGCCGCTGTGCAATGGGCAAACCAGACACAGGTGCAGTAAGTTAAAATACTCTCTATGGGGCAATGGTAGAAGGCCACTAGCAGTTTTTCATTCAGTTGTTGTTTCCTGAGAAGTCTCAGGTAGTATAATCTCTGCTGGGCCCTTTTGACCAGGACTGCAATGTGAGGGCCTCAGGTCAGGTCCTCTTTTAGGATAACACCCAGAAACTTAAAACTGGCCACTTGCTCCACTCGGTCTCCATTGATAAGCAAGGGCTGGATGTCTGATCTATTCCTTCTGTAGTCCACTATAAGCTCCTTGGTCTTATTTGTGTTAAGGACCAAGTTATTGTCTCTTTTTTATATCTGCAGAAAGAAGGATGGGCTACCATGCAGTCCCATACCTTCTCAACCCAACGCTAGGATCCTAGTTTTCGTCTGAAAAGAGCAAGTCGTAGAATCGTAAAGGAGATAATTTAATCATCCTGTTCATTCCTTGCTTAGAGAAGGAAACCATTGAAGCATCTCAACCTCTGGTTGACCATATCACGAGCACCTGAGGGCAGGAGAAGAAGCAATGGGTGGAAGAGAGAGACCTGTGGAGATTCTTAGTCATCCAGGTCACGGTTGTCCCAAAGGTGCTTTTTTCAAGGCAACTGGACTTTGTTTTTCCTTGAAGATGTTTTGCTTCTCATCCAAGAAGCTTCTTCATTTCTTCTTCTTCTTCAGAACTGAAGAAGCTACTTGGATGAGAAGCAAAACATTTTCAAAGGAGGTGTCCATAGAGCATCATCCAGGTCATGGTTGTCCCAAAGGTACTTTTTCAAGAGGCAACTGGACTTCCTTTGTCTTTCCTTCAAGATGTTCCGCTTGTCATCCAAGAAGCTTCTTCGGTTCTTCAGCAGTTCCAAAATGGTTCCTCACCCATTTGCACTATCCATGTGACCCCTGAGGGCACATTTGAACCTCCAGTGACTCTCAGAAAGAGCGCTAATGACCAGATAACTGCAAGGAATATAAATCCTTCCATTCCCCCACCATTCGGTCAGAACTGAAGAAGCTTCTTAGATGGAGAAGTGAAACATCTTCAAGGAATAACAATGAAAGTCCAGGTGCCCCTTGAGGAGAAAATAAAGCAGCACTTTGGGACATTAAAGAGAGATCCAAACTAGAACTAAGGAGAAGTTTCCTGACATTAAATGAACAGTTGTACATTGAAGACTAGGGATCTGGACAACCTTCCATGGATCTCAAAGCTTTGGAAGATATGGGCTTTCAAACAGATGAGTCCCAACACAGACAGGATCATTGCTGGTGGAGTAATATTTCCAAGTTAAGCTTTGCTCCTGAATATGAGGACTTACCACAAGCCTGATTAGTTCTGAGTTCTGAAATATCTACCAGATACTATCACCTGCTGAGGTCAAAGCATGCAGCTCTGGTCACCACAACACAAAACAGTTGCTGAGACCTTAGAAAGTGTGCAGAGAAGAGCAACAAAGATGATAAAGAGTCTAGAGGATGTATCGTACGATGAATGGTTGAGGGAGGGAGGTTACGTCTAATCTAATGAAGAGAAGGACTAAGCATGATATGATAGCTGTTTTCCAGGACTTAAAAACACAAAACAGAATAACAGAGTTGGAAGGAACCTTGGAGGTCTTCTAGTCCAAATCCCTGCCCAGACAGGAAACCCTACCCCACTTCAGACAAATGGTTATCCAACATCTTCTTGAAAACTTCTACTTTTGGAGCATTCACAACTTCTGAAGGCAAGTTGTTCCACTGTTTAATTGTTCCAACTGTCAGGAAATTTCTCCTTAGTTCTAAGTTGCTTCTCTCCTTGATGAGTTTCCACCCATTGCTTCTTGTCCTGCCCTCAGGTGCTTTGGAGAATAGCTTGACCCCCTCTTCTTTGGGGCAACCCCTGAGATATTGGGAGACTGCTATCATGTCTCCCCATGTCCTTCTTTTCATTAAACTAGCCATGCCCAGTTCCTGCGACCAGGGTCAGCTTATTCTCCAAAGAACCAGAGAGCAGAATAAGAAGTAAACAGATGGAAACTTATCAAGAAGACATTCCACCCTAAAAATTTCCTGACAGTAAGAACAGTTAATCATTAATTAATGCCTTGCCTCCTTGAATTATGGCTGCTCCGTCACTGGAGGCTTTCAAGAATAAACCAGGCAACCATTTGTTCAGGATGATATATAAAGGCTCCTGTCTTGAGTAGGGGGCTGGACTAGAAGATCTCTGAGATCCCTTCCAGTCCTAGGAGTCTATATTCTAAACTGCTTTTCTACCCCTCTGAATTGGGTTGTTTCAAGGCCCTGACCTTGACGTGAACTATTTCTGAGCGTTAAAAAATTGGAACCGTCCATTTTGAAGTTGGGCCATTTCCTGCACATTCGGAATTTCCTTTGAAACGTTCTGGAAATTTCTTAACGACCTGCGTTCTGAATTCCGCCTGGAAGTGGATTAGCAGCCAGCAGAGTCATTATTTTAAGAAAATGAAAAATTCCTAAAGTCTGCAGGATGACTCCCTTCGGCTCTGCATCCCTGAGACTTACTAGATGTTTGGCACCTAAAAGTGCCCCATTTAAAGCATGCTGGGACTTAAGTATGATTGCTATGATCAAAGTCGATATCACGGCAAAAGGGGCACAGTTGACAGATTAGCTTAAGACTGGGGAAGCATCCCTGGCCGTGTTGAAACCTGGATATTCGGAACTGAATCTAAGGAGGTGCTGGAATTGCAAACCTCATTTAAAATATATATATCTAATTTTACCCAATGCAAGTTGCATTCTTGTTTCTGGATTATTCAAGTTTCTCCTTTGGTTTATTAGTAATTAGTGGAAGAGAATCTGTTGGGTCTTGTTGAGGCACCAGGCCAGAAAGTAGGAGACCGGGAGTTCTAGTCCCGCCTTAGCCATGAACTCCGTCTGGGGGACTTTGGGCTAATCACCAGGAGACTGGGAGTTCTAGTCCCGCCTTAGCCATGAACTCCAGCTGGGGGACTTTGGGCCAATCACCAGGAGACTGGGAGTTCTAGTCCCGCCTTAGCCATGAACTCCAGCTGGGGGACTTTGGGCCAATCACCAGGAGACCGGGAGTTCTAGTCCCGCCTTAGCCACGAAAGCCATCTGGGTGACTTTGGGCCAATCACCAGGAGACCGGGAGTTCTAGTCCCGCCTTAGCCACGAAAGCCATCTGGGGGACTTTGGGCTAATCACCAGGAGACCGGGAGTTCTAGTCCCGCCTTAGCCATGAACTCCATCTGGGGGACTTTGGGCCAATCACCAGGAGACCGGGAGTTCTAGTCCCGCCTTAGCCATGAACTCCATCTGGGGGACTTTGGGCCAATCACCAGGAGACTGGGAGTTCTAGTCCCGCCTTAGCCATGAACTCCATCTGGGGGACTTTGGGCCAATCACCAGGAGACCGGGAGTTCTAGTCCCGCTTTAGCCACGAACTCCATCTGGGGGACTTTGGGCCAATCACTCTCACTCAGCCCACCTTGGAATGGCAGAGCGTGTCCTGCTCGAGTAGGGGGGGGTCAGACTAGAAGACCTCCAAGGTCCCTTCCAACTCTGTCATTCTGTGTTCTCTGACATTTGGGTCCCGGGAACCGCAAGGCTTCTGTTTCTCCGTCCAAAGGTGGCTCTGACGATGTGACCTCATGTGTCCTGCTGTCCTTTGCAGGTCCCCTGCTATTCCTACGGGCAGAAGCTATCCAAGCTGGCCATCCTCAGGATCGCCTGTAACTATATCCTCTCCTTGGCTAGACTGGCCGACCTGGATTACAGCGCGGACCACAGTAACCTGAGCTTCTCGGAATGCGTGGAGCAATGCACCCGGACCCTGCAGGCCGAAGGCAGGTCTAAAAAAAGGAAGGTAGGTTTCGGGTCGGAGGAGAAAAGAGCCAGCTGGAAAGGAGGGGGGGCTCTGCGCGGCTGCCGTTGGCTGGTTTTATCAGTCTCTTATCTTTAAGGTTGGGGTTTTTTTTTCCCAGCCTGTGATTTATATTGTTCTAGTCAAGCACTGCTTCTTTCCCCTTTTTTCTTCTGTTTTAAACACATTCTTTTAGGTTTGAATAACCTTGATGGAGTTATGCAAGGTTTAAGAATGTAAAACAGAGCAAGAGATGCAGAAATTCAGCTGTGTGCTTGGGGTTTTTCTTTCTTTCTTTCTTTCTCTCTCTCTCTCTTCCTTCCTACCTCCTCCTCTCTCTCCTTCCCCTCCTTTCTCTTCCCTTCTCCCTTCCTCCCCTTCCTTCTTTCTTTTTTCAATCTTCCTTCTTCCTTCCTTCCTCCTTCTCATCCTCCCTCCCCTCCTTTCTCTTCCTTCCTTCCTCCCTCCTCCTTCCTTCTTTCTTTTCTCCATCTTCCTTCCTTCCCTATTTCCTTCCTTCCTTCCATCTCAATCCTGCCTGCCTGCCTTCCTTCCTCCTTCTCATCCTCCCTCCCTTCCTTTCTCTTCCTTCCTTCCTCCCTCCTCCTTCCTTCTTTCTTTTCTCCATCTTCCTTCCTTCCCTATTTCCTTCCTTCCTTTCATCTCAATCCTGCCTGCCTTCCTTCCTTCCTCCTTCTCATCCTCCCTCCCTTCCTTCCTCTTCCTTCCTTCCTCCTTCCTTCCTTCTTTCTTTTCTCCATCTTCCTTCTTCCTTCCTTCCCTATTTCCTTCCTTTCTTCCATCTCAATCCTGCCTTCCTTCCTCCTTCTCATCCTCCCTCCCCTCCTTTCTCTTCCTTCCTCTCTCCTCCTTCCTTCCTTCTTTCTTTTCTCCATCTTCCTTCTTCCTTCCTTCCCTATTTCCTTCCTTCCTTCCATCTCAATCCTGCCTTCCTTCCTCCCTCCCTCCCTTCCTTCCTTTCTTCATGGGGCAACACATATTGCGTAGAATAATACTGGTCTTCCTCAAGCTGGGGAAGATGCAGTTTTAACATCCTTTCCTTGACTAATTCGTGTTCCTAATCGCAGCATTAGGGAAGCAGGAATATTGACCCAGCTCCGAGCCCCTCCAACTGTCCACTCCCAAATGCCACGACTGCTTTCACTTTCCGTGGGTGACCTGGGAAAATCAGAGAAAACAGTTTCCAGTCCTCCCCCAATGTCAGATGAGTTCCGCCAGCTGGGCTGTGCAAATGCCCAAAGTGTCCTTCAAGGTCATCAGGATGTTCCTTCTCCCTGACTCAGGCGGTCTTTCTCACCTGGAGCTGTAGACACAGAACAGGGAGTCCTCAACGTACGACCACAAAGGACCCCCAAAGTTTCTGTCGCTAAGCAAGGCAGTTGTGAAATGAGTTTCACCCTTTTACCGCCTTCCTTGCTCCTTTCTTGTTCAGTGATTCGCTGCAGCTGTTAAGGTAGTAACACAGTGTGTTATATGGTTGTTATAACCGCTTGTGTTGAACACTGGGATTTCTCCACCACCCCCGGGGAACCCCATGCTCCACATAACGACCACGATGGGGAGAGCCGGCATTGTACAGACACCTCGTTTAATGACCGCAACAACTTACGACTGTAATTCTGGGCTCAATTGTGATTGTAAGCCAAGGTCCACCTGTACGCTTGTGTGAACAGTGTAACTCGGGTGTTCCTTGTTTTTTTGGCTGCAATTCTGTAGCATCCCCTACTAATCCCAAAGGTGCTTTTTCAGAAGGCAACTGGACTTCCTTGTTTTTTCTTTTGAAGTCGTTTTGCTTCTCGTCCAAGAAGCTTCTTCAGCTCTGACTGGATGGTGAGGAAGGGAAGGATTTATACTCTTTGCGACAGCTGGTCATTTGCATCCTTTGAGAGGGTCATTGAGGCCCCTTGGAGGTTTCTCTGTGTCCTCAGGTAGTGCAAATGGATGTGGAGCCTCCTTGGAACTGCTGAAAGGACTGCGTTGTAGTCACACCCATTTGCACCACTCAGGTGTGATCCTGAAGACACAGATGAACCTCCGAGTGGCCTCAAGGATCCTCTCAAAGGATGCAAATGACCAACTGTCTGCAAGGAGTATAAATCCTTCCCTTCCCCGCCATTCGGTCAGAGCTGAAGAAGCTTCTTGGATGAGAAGCGAAACGTCTTCAAAAGAAAAAAACCAGGAAGTCCAGTTGCCTCCTGAAAAAAGCATCTTTGGGACAACCATGCCCTGGATGATGGAGAATCTCTACAGATCCCCCCCTGGGATTTCCCTTCTGTCTTTTGAAGGATTCGGTGAAGCTGCTGCCATGGAAGGTTGTGTCTCTTCCTCCAGCTGAGTCCTTTTCACCCCAGTTGCCGATGACTTTTCCCTACCCTGGTTCACTTTTTCACACTTCCCCCAAAATGGCCGGTTCGAACCTGTCCTGGCAGGCAGAGGCTCCAGATGTTATATTTTTACTGGGCTTGTGAATCCCCTTTCGTGATCCTCTATCTCCTTTTTACTGCATGGAATTTGGGGGGTTTTTTTCTTCTTTTTCCCCCCCTTCTATTTGTTTTTACAATAGGAGACGAAAGGAAGAACGCTGCATTCTGTCCTGTCCAATTTCCTTTGCTCAAATGCTGAATTCCTTCATGGTCTGAAAAGGGGCCAAGAAATGGTTTTAGCCGTGACAATCACCTCATCATCATCCTAATTGCCTTCAATAGGCCTTTAAAATAAACCTTTAAAAAGAAAAAAAAGATATTTGACATTTTTAATGGGTCGTTTAGTGAATTTGACAAGTATAATTCTCCCTGAGAAGGAAAAAGTTGCATTCCTCTCTCTCCCCCCTCTTCTCATCCCTTAATAACAGGACCGTTTCTGAAAGCTGCCCAATTTAGCTTTCATAATAAGAAGCATTTTTATTTACAGCCAAAAGTTCACAAAAAGTGGCCTATATCTTAATCTCACTTGATTAAAACACCAGGCTAGAAAGCGGGAGACTGGGAGTTCTAGTCCCACCTTAGCCAGGAAAGCCATCTGGGTGACTTTGGGCGAATCACCAGGAGACAGGGAGTTCTAGTCCTGCCTTAAGTAATGAGAGCCGACTGGGTGACTCTGTGCCAATCACAAGGAGACTGGGAGTTCTAGTCCTGCCTTAAGTAATGAAAGCCACCTGGGTGACTCTGTGCCAATCACCAGGAGACTGGGAGTTCTAGTCCTGCCTTTCACATGAGAGCCGACTGGGTGACTCTGGGCCAATCACTAGGAGACTGGGAGTTCTAGTCCCACCTTAGCCAGGAAAGCCAGCTGGGTGACTTTGGGCCAATCACTCTCTCTCAGCCCATCCCAGGGTGGTAATTTTGGGGGGCGAAAACAGCGAAGGAAAGAATATTAGATTTTTTTCACCACCTTGAGTTGTTTATAAAAAAAAGAAGAAGAATTAAGGTGGCATGTAAATAAATAAATAAATTTTCACCCTTAGAATAAGAAGATTGTTAGGTCAAGAAATGACCCTGGAAGAGATATTTCTAGTTTGAAATGAGGCCAACCTACCTCAACTAGTACTGTGGGATATTTGCAAATATTTTCAGTGGACAAGAGTTCAATTCTGTTGCTTCTTTGGGTTGTGAGTAATTAAATAATCCAAGTAAATCATATGCAAAATTGGGGTGGAGTTAATCCCACACATACTCTGAGCCTTTACAACAGTGTTTCTCAACCTTGGAAGCTTGAAGATGGGTGGACTTCAACTCCCAGAATCCCCCAGCCAGCGCTGCTGGCTGGGGGATTCTGGGAGTTGAAGTCCACCCATCTTCAAGCTTCCAAGGTTGAGAAACACTACTTTACAAGGACACCTTGTCTGTTACCTCCATTCCTCATGGTGTGATGGTGGAAATGCCACTTTTTCTCCATCCTGCTGTGTGTTGGGTTTTTGCTGTCCAACAAGAAGTACAGACATACAACAATTCATTTAGCGACCATTCGAACCGTGTTTCGTAACTTAAGAATTTCAGGGATCCACTGAACAACCGTGCCGTGGAAGGTTGCAAAATGGGGCAAAACTCACTTAAGAGCCATCTTGCTCAGCAACAGAAATTTTGAGCTCAGTTCTGGTCGTAAGTCCAGCACTATACTATATGCGTTCTTTGTGGCTCTTCCCAATGGGACTCCTTCTGCCATATCTTAACTTTCAGATGACATCAGGATCCAGAGATTCCCTATATGGATCGCCAGAGATCCTTGCTAATCCTTCCGTGGATCCCTTTTTTCGGAAGTGCTCCATTATGAGTGGTCCATATTAACCCTGGTCCATATTACTGTTTTATAAAAAAGATGTTGAGACTTTCGAAAGAGTGCAGAGAAGAGCAGCCAAGAGAATTAGGGGACTGGAGGCTAAAACTTATAAAGAATGGTTGCAGGAACTGGGCATGTCTAGTTTAATGAATTTAATTTAATTTAATTTAATGGAGATGCGGTGGCTCAGTAGCTAAGACTCTGAGCTTGTCGATCGAAAGATCGGCAGTTCAGCAGTTCGAATCCCTAGTGCCGCGTAACGGGGTGAGCTCCCGTGACTTGTCCCAGCTTCCGCCAACCTAGCAGTTCGAAAGCAGGTAAAAAATGCAAGTAGAAAAATAGGGACCACCTTTGGTGGGAAGGTAACAGCGTTCCGTGCACCTTTGGCATTGAGTCATGCCGGCCACATGACCACGGAGACGTCTTCTGGCAGCGCTGGCTCTTCGGCTTTGAAACGGAGATGAGCACCGCCCCTAGAGTCGGGAACGACTAGCACATATGTGCGAGGGGAACTTTTACCTTTACCTTTAGTCTAATGAAAAGAAGGACTCAGCATGACATGATAGCAGTGTTCCAATATCTCAGGGGCTGCCCCAAAGAAGAGGGAGTCAACCTATTCTCCAAAGCACCTGAAGGCAGGAGAAGCAGCAAAAGATGGAAACTAATCCAGGAGAGAAGCAACCTGGAATTGAGGAGAAACTTCCTAACAGTGAGGACAATTAACCAGTGGAACAGCTTGCCACCAGAAGTTGTGAATGCTCCATCACTGGAGGTTTTTAAGAGCTTGGACAACCATTTGAAAGGGTATAAGGTCTCCTGCTTGAGCTGGACTAGAAGACCTCCAAGGTCCCTCCCAACTCTGTTATTCTGTTATTCTATTACTCCCACGCCTTTCAAACCCAGAACCCAGAAGCCTATCATGATCCTTCCAAAAGTCAATCATCTCATCATTCCTTCGTCGGCTGGAAAATACCTCGTTTTCCCCGGCCATCCTTCCCCCCCTCTGCCCCCACCCGCCACTCTGTCTCCAGCATTGGAAAGATAATATTCTTTGCTTCATTAGTTTTTCCGAACGTAACAAGCCTTTCCCCACACACACACCCCTCGTTGGAAGAGAGGGGGGGTGGGAGGCCGTTGACCTGTAGCTGGTTAGCTTGCAAACCCCTCCGTGTGGCGGGTGAGTGTGTGCACAGAGGCCTTTGTGGTTCTGATTAGTTATTTCGCTGGTGAGCAATTTTGTGGAGCGGAGAGAAGCTGAGCTGAGCAGGGAGGGCTTCCCTCCTCCTCCTTCTGCCCCCCCCCCCTTTGGTCTTCTGGCAGTCGCAGACTCCAGATGTTCGGAGTGCTGGTTGGGAAGTCCTACTGGCGCCAGTCGGGGCAGAGGGCAGGGGAAAGGCACGCGAGCTGGAACCGAAAACACTCAGTCACTGCAGGATTTGGCATTCCCCCAGCTCTCTGCTGGCACATTCCCCAGCATACTCCTAGCCATCTGTTCCAAAAAAACACTTTCAGGACCTCATCATCACTCAAGATGCAACATGGAGAACAGCTGCTAGAGAGGAACAGGAGGAGGACGGGTGGGGGGGGTGGAACCCAGCAAAAGGACTCTTTGTGAGAGAGGAAGCCGGAGTCATAAATAACAGCAGAAGAGTTGCTATAAAAGCCCCTGGGATCGAATTGATTTCTGGTTTTTAATCACCCCCCCCCCTCCAGCCTCCGTTTGCAGAACACATTTGGGGAGGATAAAAGGGTCACCGTAAGACCCCACCTGGAATTCTGCATCCAGTTTTGGTCACCACACTGCAAAAAGAAGTTGAGACTTTGGAAAGAGCGCAGAGAAGAGCAACAAAGAGGATTAGGGGCCTGTAGCAGTGGTGGGATTCAAATAATTTAACAACTGGTTCTCTGCCCTAATGATTTCTTCCAACAACAGTTCACCAAACTTCTCAGAAAGTTAACAACCGGTTCTCCCAAAGTGGTGCGAACTGGCTGAATCCCATCACTGGACTGGAGGCTAAAACAGATGAAGAACGATTGCAGGAACTGGGCATGGCTAGTTTAATGAAAAGAAGGACTAGGGAGACATGATAGCAGGGTTCCGATATCTATGGGGCTGCCCCAAAGAAGAGAGGGAGTCAACTTATTTTCCAGAGCACCCAAAGGAAGAAACCATGAATGGAAACTCATCAAGGAGAAAAGCAACCTAAAACTAAAAAGACATTTTCCTGACAGTGAGATCAATTAATCAGTGGAACAACTTGCCTCCAGAAGTTGTGAATGCTCCAACACTGGAAGTTTTTTAAGAAGAGATTGGACAATCATTTCTCTCAAATGGTATAAGATTTCCTGCCTGAGCAGGGGGTTGGACTAGAAGACCTCCAAGGCCCCTTCCAACTCTGTTATTCTAGTCTATTCTAACCTAGAATTAAGAAGAAACTTCCTAACAGTGAGGACAATTAATCAGTGGATCAGAAGCTGCTTCCAGAAGTTGTGGGGGCTCCATCACTGGAAACTTTTAAGAAAAGACTGGTCCTAACTGATCCTCAAAGTTAGAATCATAGGATTGGAAGGAGCCTCAGAGGTCTTCTAGACTAACCCCCTACTCAAGACAGGAGATCTTATGCCATTCTATTCATTTGGTTGTCCTGTCTAGTTTTGGAAACCTCCGCTGAGGGTTTCACCTACAACTCCAGGAGACAGGCTATTCTACTGATTAATTGTACTGTCAGAAAAGTTTTCCCTACTTCTAAAGTTGGGTCTCTCCTTAACAATCTTCCTCCCATTACTTCTTGTCCTGCCTTCGGGTACCTTAGAGAATAAGTCAGTCCCCCTTTCTTTGTGATAGTCCTTCAAGTACTGGAAGACAGCTATCATGTCCCCACAATCCTTCCCTTTGATAGGGTAGACATATCTAGCTCCCTGTGCAAATACAGAATACCAGAGTTGGAAGGGAGCTTGTGGGTCATCTAGTCCAACCCGCTGGCCAAGCAGGAGACCCTACACCATTTCTGACAGATGACAGTCCAGTCTCTTCTTGAAAGCCTCCAGTGATGAAGCTCCCACAACTTCTGAAGGCAACTTTCTGTTCCATCGTTGATGGTTCTTCACTGTCAGGAAATTCCTCCTTATTTCTAGGTTGCATCTCTCCTTGATCAGTTTCCATCCATTCTTCCTTGTCTGGCCTAGAGGGGCTTTGGACAATAGCTTGACCCGCTTCCTCCTCTCTGTGGCAGCCCCTCAAATATTGGAAAACTGCTATCCTGTCTCCCTGGTCCTTCTCTTCACTAGACTAGCCGAGCCCAGTTCCTGTAACAGTTCATCGTATGTTTTAGCCTCCAGTCCCCTAATCATCCTGGTTACTCTCCTCTGCACTTTTTCTAGGGTCTCAACCAGTGGTGGGTTGCCCCTGGTTTGGACCAGTTTGCAAGAACCGGTAGTAAAACCAGCGGGAGGCTCTGCCCACTGACCCGGATGTCATCATAGGTGATCTGTGCATGCAATATTCGAAGTGTGGTCTTACTAAGGCTTTATACAGTGATATTCATATCTCTGTTGATCTTGATTCACTCCTTCTGTTAATGCAATTTAGGATTGCATGGGCTTTAACAAAATAATATAAAATAAATAGAGGGAACACAGCTTCTGTTTGGAACCCCTCTCACAATTTGTCCAATGCATTTCAGATCAGTCCCAGTTTGACAAGTGCCAACCCAAGAGCAGTTTTAAATAAGCAACATGCAGAGAGCAGTTTTATTGTACAG